TTTCTCCTCCACCACTTGCTTTTTCTTCTTCCACGGGGAAGAAGCCGGCTCTCGATCCATCCTTCGTTCCACGCTCAAGCCTGGATAATTAAGACGCGCCGACGGTGGAGACGGATGAATTATAATCGAGTCGGACCGAGAAAAATCCAAGACGTGTACGAGCGAGCGGAGATTTCGCGTGCACGATTCCACGGGCGCAGATCGATCTCTCGTTGCCGATCTCCATAACGGGGATTTACGATAATTGCACTCGAGCATCCCGTAGCAATTTCGAGCTTGATGGGCTCGAATTTCGCATTCGTGGCGGAGAAAAATCGCGATGGGCAAACGATCGTGTCGGGGGTGTATCGATACCTTCGATTACCTGTCTTTAAACTAATCGCGCGTATCTGCTTATGTGAGACAATTTCCTCTCACCATTCGAATTAAATGGAGTGCAATGAATAATAATGATTAGAATTATCCTTTATTTTCTAAATTTTAAATACTTTCCCTCTCTTAAAAAAAAAGACACATTTCAAAAATTTCAATTAAGTTGTCGAATGAATTCTACCCTATTTCCTCGAGGTAAGTGATACAATGAATGATAACGATACTTACGATTCTTCTCTCTTTAGATTAGAATTATCCTTTACTTTCTAAACTAAATTTCAAACACTTCTCTCCCCTTAAAAAAGAAAACTCTCATCTATTCAAAAATTTCAATGTCGAATGAATTCTACCTCGAGTTAAATGGTACAATGAATGATAACGATACTTACGATTCTTCTCTCTTTAGATTAGAATTATCCTTTACTTTCTAAACTAAATTTCAAACACTTCTCTCCCCTTAAAAAAGAAAGCTCATCTGTTCAAAAATTTCAATCGCAATAAATTAAGTTGTCGAATGAATTCTACTCCATTCCCCCTCACTCTTCACGAGGTCTCATCGACGATATTAAATCGAGAGAAAGATTGCACACACACGAGGCGTAAAGTGACACGTTGGCCGCGAGTTGGATCGGCGAGGTATCGGTTTCTCGGAATACTTTTCGGCCGGAATACTTTTTTTTTTTTTTCTTCTTTTTCAAACGGCAGCCATCGCGAGCGCGTTATAACGGTAATTCCGGCTCGGGCTGTAATTGAAAGAGAGCAGAAGCGGCGGTTAATTGCGCTAGGTCGAAATCATCGGGGGGGAGGAGGGGAGGGGGAAGCGCCGCTCTTCTTCGAAAGTCATTTGTGAAAAGGGCCTCCCCTTTCTCATAACTCGCGCAGCTCCAAACTTTGGAGCCCCAATTACCCCCCGAAATCTCGGCAGCGGGAGGGGGTTGTTGCATCCGAAGCATCGTTTTTGGAAGCACCGTTTCGAGTGGTTGCGGAGGCTGTGTTTAGCCGTCAACGAGATTGCGTTTCGCGAGCTCCCGTCGCCCGGTGTTTTTTTCGAGCAGTAAAAATCTTTCACTCCCTGGGATCTGGAAGCTGGGATTTCGGAAAGATTTCGAGTGGTTCCATCTTTCCCTCTTACTCGAGCCCTGTTACTCGAGGGAATATCGTCTCGAGAGAGAGAGGTTGTTGAGGTATTTAAACTTGTTGTTTACGAACCTCTCGTACACGAGAGAGAGAAGAAAGAGAGAGAGAGAGAGAATTTGCTCGGTTTTGTGACGAAGGAGAATTGGATTTCTTTTTTTTTTTTTTTTTCTCGAAGTGTTAAACTTTGACGAGTCACTTGTCGCAGTTGTAATGTAATACGGTGTCAATTTTACATCGTTGGACGCGTGTCACGAAATTGGAAACGAATTAGAGAAAGAGAGAGAGAGAGAGAGATCGAATTGGAACGGAAAAATTGTGAATTAGATTTTTGCAAAAATTTCGTTAATCGATATATAATTGACTATTACGAGTATATTTATTTGTAAAATTATTAGGAATTCATAGAACGTGTATATCATTAAGTTAATTGCGTTAGATGTTTCTTCGTTCCGTTTTTAAACAAACACTTTTCACTTTTATGCTAATTATGCCTTAAAACAATTAATTCCTTTTTTTTGCAATTTCCCCATTGAAAATAAATGAATTCCAATGTTTTGCATTACAAATGGCTCCTTCTTCTTTTTTCTTTTTTTTTTTTTTTTTTTTTTTTTTTTTTTTTTTTTTT